TTATAATTAAACATTTGATAAGCTATTGAATTTATAAATATATACTTAATTTTTTTGCTTAATTTATAAGCATAATGATTAGTTATGGTATATTGAATTTAAGAGTTATACAAATAAAAAAATTGTTTATTTAATAGATTATTAGACTCTGAAAATTTTATTTAATCATAATGCTGTAAATTGACAAAAAAATGTTATAACCTTTATAATAAGAAAGGATGAAACTCATACTGTAAATTAGTAAAACCTGCTACATAGATTACATTAGATGAAATCAGCATTTAGCTATGTTTTTATTATGCAAAAATGAATTTCACCCTTATATGATCTGCATAACAGATTTTACTAATTTACAATGCAGGTTTCATTCTGTCATTTTATAATTATAGAACAAGTAAAGATGGTGATGCTACTGACAACCCTGTAGCATTACTTGTGCTAATTTTGGTCAAATTCTTATTATATAACAATTTACTAATAATTATGTACCAATGCATGCTTTACTTTAATATGAATGGAATAATTAATAAAAACATATAATTCAAGTTTAACAAAAATCAACAAATGTAGTAATATATAGAAACCAATCCTGCAATAATATCTTGTATATGTCTTAATTATAGATACTATAAGAAACAGACTGATATACAGAAAAATGCAGTTTTAACTCCACATTAACTGTATTTAGAAGTGAAATTGAACATCAAAAACATTAAAACATAAATATTTTAAAGTAATAATCATTTAACAATATTATGTTTGTTGGTTATGTTTTTGATTCAGATAGGATGAATGATAAGTAATTTTATAATATTAGGATTTCAACCTAAAAACTTGCTTTTTGAATTCCATGACTAAAATGAATATGATTAATGATGCCTTAATTGATAATCATACACTTAAAATCAGATTGAATACAAATATGCATTTGATCATAATCAAACAAAATTGACACTAAATCAGGAATGAATCAAATGTGGTTTCAAAATGATGACATGAGCAATTGGATATAAGAAATTAGTAGGAAAATCTAGTAAAAAGAGTGAAACAGTTAGTAAAATATATATTAGAAATATAAATATATAAAAAAGATACAAAAATATAATATTCTACTTATCTTTTATAATGCTCAAGAAGGACTAAAGACTCTAATAAAAAAACTATCACTAAATAAATAAAGTTGTTTGTTTGTATTAGTGTTAGTTTTGTAATCAGTATTAACTTAATATTAATAATAAATTGTAAAGCAGTAAATAAAAATACACTTGCTAAATAGTAACACCTTAAGTATGTAGTATAATCTTTAGTATCTGATTAATATATAGTGTAATTGAACCAAAATCAGATAAAACATGCATATATAATCATTTCAAACAATTCAGACAATATGTAAAGTAACTAATATATATAACCAAATTAGAAAAGAATTATGTTCATGATGTCAATGTTTCAAAATGGTGCGATTAAAGTAACCAGTCATCAGGTTTATATTTAAGAAAAAAAAATTATTGTTAATAATACAGTAACTTCTAGAAAATAAGAATAAAAAAGAAAACTTATCTAATAAAAGCTCAGAAACAATTAATAGTAAGAATTAGAAACAATAAAAGCCTTCTTTTAAGTAATTCAAGCATAAATAAAAAGTATATTTGTTCAAATCAAGATTTATACGTTTGCAGAGTATGTCTAGATTTGCTGTTTTAAATTATTTCCTACACTATTCTTGCTAATCATGTCTCGTAATAAAGGTGTATATAATGATTCATTCGACATATTCAAAGATTCTAAAGGAAAAGAAAGATACAAATGTCATAAGTGTAAAAAAGATTGTGCCAAAAATAAAACAAGACTACAAGAGCATTATAATTCTTATATTTTGATAGAAAATATAGAAAATAGAATTTCTTCTGGATTTAAACATCAATATCAAGCCACAGTAGATAATTTTGTATATAAATTATTTAAAGCTGATCAAAAAAATTTAGAAAGTCTATTTGTGTGTGCTTTTTATTCATCGGAAGTTTCCTTTAATATTTTAGAAAATGAGGATTGGCAAATTTTTTTCTCAAAAGCTTGTCCATCATTTAAACTTCTCTCACAAAAATCACTTTCTAATACATTGCTTAATCAAGAATATGGTGATATTAATATTGTAATTCAATACTTATTTAATCAAATGCAGTATTTTTCATCTATTACTGCTGGTTGGTCCAATATTAATAATGACTTTATTATTAATTATATGGTAACAACACCAAAACCTATTTTTTACAAATCAACTACTACAAAAGAAGAGCAACACACAGCTAATAACATAGCATTAAATATTGAAACAATTATGTTAGAAGTAGGAATTGATAAATTTGTTGCAGTAATTACCGATAATGCTCCTAATATAAAAGCAGCATGGAGAATTCTTAAGGATAAATATCCAACAAAAATCTTTTTAGAATACTGGGCCTATGCAATTAATTTGTAGATTAAAGATATTTTGAAAATTTAATAGGCAAAAACTATTTTAGAAAAATGTAAATGAATTGTATCATATTTTAAATTACATTAAACTATTTTAGCTACTTTTCGACATCTTCAAATAGAAAAATATGGACAACAAATTGCATTAGTTTCAATAATTAAAACATGATAGGGTTCTATCTTTGAATATATGGATCATCTTTTATGAACAAAACTGGTGATAAAATTTATTATTAAAGCCATTTTTAATGTTTATTCACCTTTTAGAGCAAGATAATTCTTTACTTTCAGTAGCATATATCAAGTTACTTGATATAAGAGTGGGTATACATAAGAATCTGCAAGTTTCTAAAACTTTTTGTAAGAAAGTTTTGTGGCTAGAGCACAAACGATGGATTGATTTTTTGTTTAATTCAACAATTTTAGTTGCATATAAATTAGATTCATAGTATCAAGGTAAAAAACTTAATCCACAAAAATGAGATCATATTATAAAAGAAGAAATTATATGGCTAGCTAGATTAGAAAATAAAGATAAGGCTTTATCAGAATTCACAGAATATATTGGTAAAACAGATGAATTTGCAAGGCCTCATTTATAGGATGCTGTAAAAGAAAACTCTCAAAATTGGTGGAATTTAGTAAAAGCCAGATATCCAATTCTTAGTTCTGTTGCTTTTAAAGTTCTTTCTATTCCAGCAACCTCTGCTGCAAGTGAAAGAAACTGGTCATCATTTGGCTTTATTCAATCAAAACTGCATAATAGATTAAATAATAAGCAGGTAGAAAAAATTGTTTTTGTTTATTGGAATCTTTGAATATTGCAAAGTTTATATTGGCCATTATCAGTAAGTAATTTAAAAAAAACTGATGCTATTATTGAGAAAGAAATTAGTGACAATATGATAGATAATAAAGTCGATACTAGTGAAAATTTGATATTCGAAGATGGAGAATGGATGTTGAATGAAGATATGTCTTTTGAATATAATGAAGAGAATTTTGAAGAAGATGTTAAAGATTTTGAAAAATACTTAGAAAAAAGTTTTAAAAAAAATTTTGAAGAACAATTCAACGAAAAATATCATGAAGATTATAAAAATTCTGAGACGTATTCTGAGAAGAATTTTGAAGAGTATTACGAAAGCAATTTTACAACCAACTTGGAAGATGATTATTAAGGTTTGTATCACTATTAGTTTATTGTTGAATTTGTTATTACTACATTAAAAGCTTGACTAACTAATTAGCTTTTAGGTTATTGAAATTTTATAAATTATAATAAGTTTTTATGCAGTCAATTATTACAATCTTCAAGGTCACAAAAATTTTTTTCAAAAAATTTACCTTAATATATATGATGCACATATAGCGCTTTATTAAGTATATATATATGATAATCATTTTACTTATTATTTATATTTTTTAAGAAATTTTAAGGTTAATTGAAGACCCTTATTTAGAAAGATCATGAATTTAAAAAGGTTTATTATTTTATAGTTGCTATCTTATAACTATGTATTATTTTATTGTTATTATCTTTATATTCTTATCTTATGATTATATATCATACATTTTATTATATCTAAAAATAACAAGTATAATTATGTATTAAAAGAATTAAAGTGATTTGCGATTATGAAAGAGGTGACAGCTAAATGTTTATAAAGATATAAGAATTATCATAATATGAGTTTATTCTTTGTTAAATTATTATTGTTATACTTGAGATAGCTGCTGATTTGGGAGAATTGCAGAGCTATTATACATTACAATTAGTTATGATCATTGACTATTACTTTTACTAGGCTATATTATATCTATTCGATCAAATAATTATATGTGATATGATTGATCTAATATATATAATAATGATAAATGCTACGTATAACAAATATATAATATACTATCTAACAAAAATGTTAGTTATATGCATTTTGAGTACATAGTCTTGAGTTTACTTATTTCCCATACCACTTCTGATTGGCTGTACTAATTATTTAATTGTTGGGTTATTTATATTATTTATTAATCAAAAAAATTAATTTTATGTAAAAATTTGCGCTGTTGGTATTTTGCCCTTAGATTATGTTTAAAAGATTAAAATTTTACAAGGAAATTTTTTTATTAGTGCACAGAAGATAGTTTCATAGATCGATTTAGAGTTATAAGTGATTTAATATTTTTTATATTTTCTTTACATTTTTTTATTTACACCTAATTATAAAACTTAATTAGTGCCAAGAAGTGAATTATTAGTATGGCCAATTAAAAGTAGTAGGAAAAATAAGTACTCTCTGTAGTCTTGACATTTGTGACACAAAAATTATTATTATATCAAAATTTATAATTTAAATATATCATTTTTTTTAATAACTTTAAAATTTTTTATTTTAAACTTGATTTTTATTAGCCAATCAGAATAAATGTTTATCATGCTATATAATAGTTTTATAATTTAGACTAATTTTAGTATATATTATATATTTGTAACTTACATCAGGAACATGTAAATTACAATGTAAGTTACAATATAAGTTACATTGTCAGATAAGTTATCCCAACTCTAATAGTGAATATTAATATTTAAAGCTATAAATAGCTTTTATACTAATTTTTTTAAAATATAAAAATGTTATCTAAGAATTACCAATTAGACAAACTTTTAATTTTGAATATTTAGAGCTATTAGTTTAATTCTAAAATAAATAAAACAATAACTATTATTTTTTATAAAATACTATTTTAACTTATCTAAATGTTTAGAATAATTTAATTAATTTGAAAAAAAGAGCACTAGCAAAGATTTTTAGTTTATAACCAATAAATTAAGTTAGCAAATTATATAAAATCTTTCTAGAATTATTGCTTGCTGGTCTTAATAGATATAAATATTAAATTATCAAATTAATCAAATTAAAAATTAAAAAGCTACTATTAGTACTCTGTTACAATTAACAAGTCTTAAAGAAACTTATTCATTAGACTGTTTTATTTAAGTAAATTTGATGCTATGGCTAATATCTGCAACAATATATAATTAATTAAAACATTATATAATAAATTAAAGTTATAATTAGTGATATTTAAAATTACTAGTTAATAAAAAAAATCAATATATTAATTAAATTATAAGCATAGAAATAATATACATATAAATTTTAATACAATTTTTATTTGATAAATCCAATTTTTTGTGCAACAAACAATAAACATTAAATAACTAATAAATATTAATAATTATTAATCATTATAGAGTTTATTATCTAATATAGATAAAGAAAATATAATATTCTAAACAGCAAACATATATGCAAATTTTGATGCAATTTTTTTGTTTAATAAATTCAATTTTCTGCATAACAACTGTAAATATTAAAAAAACATTAATTATATAATTATATAAGTTCTGTTACTTAATATAAAAAAAGAAAATATATTTATATGAAGTGTAACATTATACGTACATAGAGGAATGTGAAAAACCAGTATCATATAAGGCTTCAGTGCAAACCCATAATAAGACCACCAGACGTAGAAGGCTAAGAAACTAAAGAGACAGAAACCCACTTGGAAATCCTAAGTAAAGAGGTAGCACAAACTTTCAATGATGCCATTGGACTGATGGAAGCCCATGAAATACCTTCATAGAAACTGTTAGATAAACCAGATAACAAGATTTATAGAGAAGCACATGACCAACCAGGCTGCTAGAATCACTAAAAAAAAAGAATATATAAGTATACCATACTGGGCCATCTGAATTGAAAGTCTGAGAAGTTGGTTAGTTCTGAGTTGCAGCTAATAGAGAATGATGAAGAAGAAATTGAAAAGATGGGTACCAAGGTTTGGGTGAACTTTACAAGAGTAATAGTGGTTTAAGGAGTAATCTTGACTGCAAGTATTGGCCTTAGCCATAGCATCAAACCAGATTAGCAGTAAAAGAAAATATAGCTCACTCTGATAGGTTTACTTTAAGAATAAAAATAGTCTAAGAATTATAGTCCTATGGTTAAAAGTGAACAAATCTGGGTCTGTGATCTGGTAAAATTAATATTAGGGTCAGAACAGAGGGTTTAAATAGAACATCTAAGCAGAGGTGTTAGATATAGCAACAAGTAGACTTCTTAAATAGGTAATATAGAAAAGTTACATATGTAGCCAGTTGTATACTCATTTGATAGTTCATTATAGATACATCTATATAAAACATGTACCTGATATAAGTATTAATAAAAAGCTAGGACCAAAGAGGACTTCTTAATACCAAAAAAAAAAATTAAAGAAAGTGAATATAATACTTTAAACAAAAAAAATACAAACATATATACAAATTTTGATGTAACTTTGCTTAATAATTCAATTTTTTGTATAGCAACTGAAAATATTAAATACTGTAAAAAATATTAAATATATAATTATACAGGTTCTGTTATCTAATATAAAGAGTGAGAATATAATACTCTAAACAAAAAAATGCAAACAAAAAAGCTATAACAAAACTTTTTTGAAAAAAACTTTTATAAATATTATATAATAGTTTTTTAAAAAGAAGAGTAAAATGTAAAACTATCAAATTAGAAATAGAGAATAGAAAATTTAATGTAATAATAGTTCAAATTTTTGTATATTGTAAAAGAAAATCTTTAGTTAAACAATTAGATGTTAATATTTGAACATATAATATAACAAAACTTAATCAATATAAATTGTCATAAAGAAAATCATATATTTACTTTGTGTCAAATAATGTCAAATTAGAAATAGATATTAATAAACTTACAGTAATTATTTAAAATTTTATATTATAAAGAAATTATATTATAAGTTAGTTATTTTTGTAAAAATTTATATATAATAAAGAAATTTTATATCCATTAAAACATAAATTATAAAAAATATTTGAGCTAAATTTTTTAAATTATTTCATTATATAAAAACTAAAACATTAGTTATTTTATTGTTAAAAAAAAAAGAGGTTTAATAAATTTAATGAAAATTTGCAAACCTTATTCAAGTCTAGTAATTCCAAATTTTAAATAAACATAAATAATCAGAAAAAATTTGTCAACTTTTTTTAAATAACATAATAAACTATATAATTAAATGTGCCAATTAATTATATATTTTAACATCTATATCTAATAACATTGAACCAAAGCTGCAACAAAATTTTGAACCAGAACTCAGATCTCTAGCTGATTTTCAAAAATTTGAAGCTGAATTACAAAAATTAGAAGTAAAATTATATGAAGAACATGAATTAAAACTGCATAATAAAAATATAAATAAATATATTAAAATTTACACTCATTTTGGCTTAAAAACATATGAAGATTAGATAAAAAATATTTTTTTAAAAGCAGCAGAAGTCTATTATTTTTATAAAAACAACTATATAACCTCAAAATATTAATTTAATAAAAGATATTTTTGTACTGTTATAAAAAACCAAGATTATCTTACATTCAAAATACTTAACTTTCAAAAAACAACTTAAGCATCATAGTATTCTATATCTTGATCAACTTACTTCATTTGACAACTTATGCTTATTAAACTAGAAACATATCTCTTCTCATATTTACAAAATTCCAAAAGGCAAACAGCCACATTGGTTTACTTACTTAGAAGATCAAGTCACAAACCACTTTTACAATCGCACATTTTACTAACATCTACACTTATCTAACACAAATTATTATAGTTATACAACTGAACACTTCTTATCTCACAAAAAATTATGACTTATTACAGTACTTGATGATCAAATCATTGCTAACAAAGCCAGAAGGAAACCTTCTGCATTTGGATCTATTCTTATTATTCACTGGCAATGTAATATTGAATTACAATTTATTTGACTCTATCCTCTTCTACCTATTCTATTTTATATATATTTAGACTATTCTTTCAACTCTCAAACATTGCTAACAAATATACAATTGTTATTTCTACCAATCTCTCAACTTAATTTTTGGGTCAAGTTAACACTTATAACAAACCTCTTAATTTTAATGCTAATTACCTTGACCTTATATATTCTATTGCAATTTGACATTCTACTCAAATTTCAAACCTTCTAAATATTACTATTGTTACTCAACCAATTTCTATAATTATTAAACCTTGTTCACTTATATACAATCTTCAACAAATAGCCAACTATAATGCTAATCTA